ATATATATATATGGAGTGACCTTTGCTCAAACCTAGACAGGGAAAGTCGAGAGGCAGAGGTCGGGTTCGAAACACGGACCTTCCGGTCAGTAAATTTGCGCCCTAACCACGAGTCATCTCGCCCTCTGACCTCGTTTACAGCCGTTGTAGATAGATCTTCAAGTATGGGACTTCTGTTTGATACAATCTACTAGAATTTGAGTATACATCACGTCAAATTTCTGGATGGTTGGGCGTATATTCTTTCATCTATTTCATACGGCAGTTCTCTGGGTTTCGGTCACCCATTTTTTCCTGAGAATGTCACATTTTCTCTTCCGTCGCGGATGCGCCGCTCTATCCGCGGGCTTTGTGTTACGATCGAGAAATGTGCAGGTCGCTCACCTGCCTGTTACTGACGACCTTTATAGCTTTTCAGACGAGCAGAAACAGGTGAGCGCCACTCGAATGCTGTATATTTGCAGTTCAGGGAATCAGTTCGCTCTTTTGCGGAGAAGGAACTTTATCCCATCGCCGAAGTAACGGATCAGCAGGATAAAATAAGTGATATGAAGGTATTCATTGAATATAATTTAATCGAATTTCGAAGGGATTATGGAAGAAAATTGGGGAAATGGGTCTTTTAGGTTTAACTGCCCCTGGTAATTTTCTATTCATGTTTTCCCCCATTCAGTTCAGAAACTTATGGTGGTACCAACCACGGGCTCCTTGCTCATTGCATTGCCATGGAAGAGATTTCTCGTGCATCGGGTTCAGTTGGTTTGAGTTACGGGGCTCATTCAAATCTTTGTGTCAACCAGCTTGTTAGGCACGCCACCGAGGAACAGGCCAAAAAATACCTTCCAGGAGTGAGTTGCTGTGCGTGATGGTTTTGTTCGGTTGTTTTCTCGTTATACAGTTAGTGCATTTTGAAACGCATAACACTGAATCATAATTTGAGCTTCCTTAATTATATGGCTGCCTACCTATTGAAATCTGTCAGTGTGTCAGGACCTTGGACGTAGTCTCCTCTTGCCATCTCGTTTCTTAGTTCCTTAGTGTTAATGTTCCATCGTTTACCTTTGCTTCTCTTGTGCAGTTAATTTCTGGCGACCTTATCGGAGCTCTGGCAATGTCCGAAGTCGATAGTGGATCAGACGTAGTTAGTATGAAGACGAGAGCAGACAGAGTTGGCGATAATTATGTTTTGAATGGTTCAAAGTTCTGGATTACCAATGGAACGGTTGCCGATGTGGTGATTGTATATGCGAGAACTGATACAAATAGTTCTGACTCCCGGCGTGGGATATCAACTTTCATTGTCGAAACCGTGAGTTTATAGAATGCTTCTAACTTCTGCAATGACCCTGGATCATTGGGACAAATTTATAAGTGTTGACGTATTTCCATCGGTACATTTTACCCGTCCTACATAAACCCTGACCCATTTCACCCAGTTTTCGGTCCTAAGTTTCACACCCCATACATTTCCCATACACATCGTAAGTTTATCCTACAATTCGCATCACCATGGATTGACGACAGCTCATCTACTTTAATTTATGCCAGCTTGGCCGGCTATATGGTATGTCAATTTTCACTGGTTTTCAAAACAGCAAAATCCAGTGGGCACCATTCGGGTGCATCCACGTGGCCTCAGCGTCAAAACGGAAGCGGTGTTGCTTTTCGGCACTGAAATTTGAGTTTGTAAGGCCATTGTCTGATATGGGCTGAGCTCCTGGAGCAATAGTGGTATTCGAACTGAAGTGCAAAACGGCCGTATTCCTAGCGTAGAGGGACATTGGTGTTCAAAATAATATGAGGCGAATATAGGTTCTAAACGGAGCTTGTTTCTTGTATGATCACCTTCGATTTTTGTGAATTCTCGGAATGTATTTTATGCGGACATTTTTGCTAGTGCTTCCTGGAATTAAGACCGCCTAAAGTTAAATAAATCTATGAAAGCCGTGGAAAATGAGTGACGTCTTACAGCACCATTGCAGTCTTTGAGATTCTCAGTAGCTGTTCACACTACCCCATTTTTCCCCGAGGAATCACCACTGAGAAGCTTGTTGGAGCCTTATGCAGTTCACCATCCCTGAGTCTGTCGCTCACCGTACAAAAATGGATATACGAACCACAATAACTCTCCCCTCCTCCCTCTCTGCGTTGTACAATCACTAAAGTATTCATGGTTTGGATTACAACTTTGACTCCATTCACCGGTTTTTATCCCTTTCCATCCTTTCTGCATTCTTTTTCCATCTATAGTTTCCCGGAGTAACAACTGCTTCACTAGGCTAAGGGTTGAAGATTGTGCCTGTACACCCTGTGTTTTACCCGTTTGGGTTGGGCTCAGTTTGTCCGTCGCAACAATTGATTCGGCTATGTATATCGACCATCGAAATGGAATGACTTACCGCTGGCTCCGTTAATGTACTTATGCCTGGCAGCGTTATTTGTCGGACTGAGAGCAGCAGCTCGCTTCGGTGGCATGTCGTCCATTCCTCCTCCGTGCGACCAGACACAGAATGAGAGAATGAGCCAAATCAACGTGAGACAGATTCAAGGAGGAGCAATGGGGGTTTCGGGGAATTTTACACACCTCGATTGTTCTATTAGTTCTGTCGAAATAGTGTCTAACACAGTTAGCGCATGAATCCATAGGGCGCGGATCACGTTTGTCAGTTCACTTTCGTTGTTGCTTCAGGGATAACATGTACCAGAGTATGTTGTTGTGTGGTTGTGAGACACGGTCTCTGCCGGCCGATGATCGAAGGCCTCTTCTGGTATTTGACTGGTGATATCTCAGAATCACTGCCGGTATCAAACGTTGTCAACGACTTCGTTGCGGTTAGTTAAAGATCCGTCTTTTCTTGCATCGTAATTACTTCAGTCCGGGAGAACGTCCAGCATCATCAACCGTGGTGGCCCCGCCATACCATGTGCCACGTCGTCCACCGAGATGATTGCCTTCTTCAGTGTGATGTAAGCTACAAGTTGGGTAACGTATGACTTGGAGAAGAGGTATAAAAGGGCTTACGGAGAGTTGCATTTCAGCTATAAACCGTAAAATGGAGGACACATTGTTTCCAGCTGCTGCTGTTCCAGTCGCCAAAGATCGAGAGAGCAAGGAAGATACAGTCAACCAATGTAGATGATGACCTAATCAGTTAACTGACCTGAAATAGGTGCAATCGCTTGAAGAAACGGTGAGCTGGACAGCTGCGTATTGAATGCAATAATTTTGCAGGAGCGCCACTGACTGCGTGACTCAGCCATGTCCTGCAGTATCGTTAACCATTGATGAGCCGAGTTCTGGGATCCCTATTCAGAGTACCGGTGTGTTCCTGCCTCCCACTGGAATGGCTGATGGACGGTTGAGCCATCGATGAACGGGGCTCCTTGGGTTGTTTAGAAGATTGTGCTGAAAGGAACGGTTGAACAGTTCTCCATCTTGTTCAGCCTATTGCCCAGAACGGTAATTTTTAGACTGAATTGCCGTTCCGTCTTCTCCGTAAATCGTTTGGGTGTTTTCTTATAGCCGATCAAACTACCTGAACTTGTGCGGCTTTTGAATACGGGTAAGGCCTCTCTTCCTACTGGACCTTCGCAATTCTCCAGCGTCCTCTGTCAGCTTCCAGGTTCTTGAGGATCCGACGTTTCGAGGGATTTGTGTGCACCATCGTGTTTTCTAATTTCGGGCATGGCTTTTCTGGTACTGTGGTTTACTGGTTTCGATGATGTTCAGGTGGATGACTTGAACAGACACTTCTAAAAACAGGGACCTTAGCTTCTTTTACTTTCTATAATTCCTTGCTAATTGATAAATAGGATTGCTGTGCTCTGGTACGTGTAATCCTAATGGAAAGCGGATTGATAAACGAGTTCGCTCCATGGCGTGATCGAAGTCAGTCGGTAATCCTTATTTGAGGCTCTCAATCGGTAACTAACAGCCACACGATCTAGCTGAGTCCATGTCTGACTTGCAGTTTGTGGCCTCCATGTAACTCACTATGACAATTTTTGCTGAAGGTTCATGCAGATTAGGAACAGACGACATTCGGCAAACAACTGAAAATCTCCCTGCTCAGTATCCGTACCCTGATAATCAACTCTGAATTTATCACCTCAACGTAGTCGTCCTTCGTAGAACCAGCCAAGATGAGATATCCTTTCTTGCTACCCGAAGTAGTCATGACAGAGTTCGACACATCCAATTTTTTACCTGCCCAGCCCCAGTCTGCCGGCGCGTATGCTTACTTAGAAAACAAACACCGTTTACAGCATCGTATTGTATTGATATCGATTGAACCAGACAAACGTACATGCGAATGCGACTGTGTACTGGGATCCAGCCCTTCGGTTGAGTGCAACGACTTCACCATAGGTAACACTAGCCATTGCATCAGGATAACCAGATACACGAATAGTGAACTATGAAACATCTGGGTTTTTCCTAATGGGCTTGATGTGTACGACCGAATTGGAGTATTGTATGCGTGTTTTGGAGACAGCATACGTCAACAGAAGAGGGAAGCAAAGTTCCAGCAAGCGAGGCCTGTTGCCTAGTTTGAGGGAACACGGACATTGAAAGCTTCAGTGTAGATCAGGTATTTCGAATACAGTGATGTATTGTTTTGGTTTATTTTGTTGGGTGACATTTTAGACGGAAGAGTGGTTCGCAGGCGAAATGGTCGCGGTGCATTTTTGCGATGAGTGGGGGCGGGTATGTGGATAAGGCTGGTTGAATAAAGATCCGCAGGGTCAAATGGTGCTTCCAAGCTGTCGAGGTGGAGGAGGGGTGCTTTTTTGAGGTACCCACCCTGGGTCTTTCATTCGAAAGTCGGATCCATAATGCACTGGATATTAGGCTTTTCTCGGGGAACCGGCTCGAAGCCGGTCACCCACCTGTCTGCCAGAGACTGTTTCTCTGCATGTTTCTGTTTCTCTGGATGTCCCACTCCTGAGGCTACTGCACTTTGCAGTTCCGTTTGTAGTCATCTCGGGCTTTTGACGGGTGTTATTTGTACATCGATCGTATTGGATAATCAGGCCAAAGTCCACTGTTGGACAATTGGAATGTGCAGTTTCTTGGTCACCTTTTCTAATCCTTGGCAGAAGACAGCGTCATTATCTTCAAAATATGGACATAGTGATCGACAGGAGGAGGGAGTCGCGCGGGGATTACGAATCTGTATCCAGACCGCCTCATATTACGGATGATTAGCCTTCATTGGTGGTTAGACGTTGTGGATTGGAGGTCAGTTTCCATAATTTGAAGCAATGAATCATTAATTTTAAAGCTATTGCTGTGCCTAGTGATGATGGTGACTAGGATGGTGATCTTGACGGTATCATAAGACTTACAATTGCTGTTTTTTCTTTAGTGTGTCTATGAGCTTGGTAAATTTCGTCACATAGACTGGAAAATCGGACTCGACACTTTACCTAATATGACCACTGGTTGCTGCTCTGAGGAGTTCCAAAATATTGTACTGTGGGATTTGTGGGGTAGTCGTCGCATCAGCTTTAGGAGCGCACCTGTCTGGGTCGAGCACAAAGTTGCCCTCTTACTCGCGAGTAATTAGTCAAGTGAAATACTTGTCAAAAGTTTACTACTACTAACATTGTATGCCGTACTTCACAAAACCATCTGTGAGTTAGCAGAAGACACCGCTCGCGTGAAGCATATCATATCATGCCCGAATGTTTCTATCAGTTCTCCCCTCGAATAGCGCCTTCGACGCTGGATGTGGTCGCTTAGTCATACAGTTGATTGATTCTACAGCAACTTGTAACAATAAGGCGGTTCGGGTGCTCTCCTTGGACCACATTTATGCGCTTGGCGACATCGACAGAAGAGTGCTTTTTAAAGTTTCTTCTAAATGTGATGATATGGTGGGCTCCGTCAGCTTTCAAGGGACTGGTTCACAAACCGGATTCAAGTTACTAGTCTATACGGTCGAAAATCCATATCGGTCCCGAAGGACACAGGTCTAACTGTCTTTGTTGCTTCTAACACTAAGTTACGTTAGTAGCATGCTCACCCTTGATTTATCCACTCTGATGTGGGGTTGGCTATATATATGACGCATCGCAAACTAATGCAAATCTGCAGAGAGGACTTAATGCACTGAAAAGTTCTTGTCAGATGTTTTCAGTCGGGCTCGGTATTCTGGGGAATCAGGACGATTTGCGCAGCAAACTCCTTACTGGTAATAAGGTTCGAATTCCAAAATCCTCCACGATGCGGTACTTGAGATTTACTATCTCCGCATGTCAACTCGGTTTGTGGTTTACCCTCTTAAATTAAGAATATTGTGAATCCCTAGTTTTATTATATGTCTATTGTATTTTCCGGACTAGTCGATCCTTAAAGCATGTTTCCAAACACTGGAATATCAACGGGTTTACTTGTCGACTTGCTTATCAGCACGCGCAGCGGTGGCTTGTCCTTGATTTTCACTATCCACTCCATTCTTTTCCGTCTAAGACCGTCTAAGGCCCTTCTAGCATTCTGCTTCATGGTTCTCTTACCAAACCAAACCATTCCGTCTTAGGTATAAAAACTATTCGTCTCTAGGGGATAACTTATTTTACTTTTCTACTTTTCTTTAAGGAAAACTGTATACTTCAAAATCTTTGGACGGAATGCACATCTACCTGACTAGGTTCGATTGCTTTTGCTTAGGTCTGAGAATTCAGTAAAGACAAATTGGTGGATGAACCTGTCAAGATCCCTCCCGTGTGCACTGCCCAGTAGCTAAACCAGTAGAATAATTAAACTCAGATTCAATACCGATAACGTGAGAACCCCTCAATTTTAACGGCGTCGTAGGTTGGTTTAACCTTACAATGGTATCTTTTCTTCTTCTAGAATGTTGAAGTCTCATCCTTCAACCGTAAACTTAGTACTGTAGATTTCATGTCAAGCTTCTACGAGGACTTTAAATACTTTTGTTGCTTCTTACCGAGTGACTTTGACTGAGTTACTGTTAATACTGAATGACTTTTGTTGGTTTAACGGATGCGCAAGGCACCAGGGAAGCATGCCTTGCCGCGATCCGATTGTTTCTTATTATCGAGGCTACCAGATAACCAAGGAACCGTCAAACGAACGAGGGGAAATCTCTGATGTCATATCGCACGTATCAGGATAATGGGCACAACCTGGAGCCCCAACCGAATACGTACATGCAATCACAGCATGAACCCTATCTCACTTGCGTCTCCATATTTACGTACGGCACGTTTTTATATGTTGACCCTCCTGGAATTTTTCAGGATAGGTTTCCATCAAATGACCTCGAAATGGCTCAGTGGTTGGGCTCGATTCTACTGATCGGAAGGCCCGTGGTTCAAACCCAACCTCAGCATGGCGTCGAAAAGGTGTTACAGTTGAGGTATTGATTATTTGGTTGATATCCATTGAATTCATAGGGTTTCAGTCGGAGACCGAAGAAAAACTGATGTGAAATGATGGTGTTTCAACCTTTGACACAGAACGCGAAGCACTGCGCACCTTCATCTTCAGATTTCTATCAAGGCACTTTTTGGTTTACCCTATTATTTTAACCGGGGCACCCATACTTGAAAGAGCTGTGGTGAAAGGCCAGTATCTCGTCGAGTAATTGTGATTCTCCCAGTGCCTTTGCCATTCTTCGTGCACAAGAAGACTTCATATGCATATTCATCATCTCTACAGTGCTTACCTTTGAGTGTGTCAAGTCTGGTGATCTTGCTTATCTACTGTTTCAAAGCCGGAGAGCCTAAAACATGGTGAAACATTTCTCTTTTCAGTCCACTCCTGGATTCTCAGTTGGAAAGAAACTGAAGAAGTTGGGCATGCGAGGTTCTCCGACGAGTGAAATAATTTTCGAAGATTGCGTAGTTCCCAGTAAGCGGAGGGCTTTGTTTTGCTTTTCGCATTCTTTACTGGTAGTTGGTAATCCCCCACAGGCTCTTGATATTTGGTGCACTATTTCGTTTTCTGCCACTTGGTGTGTGTATTGATGTACTCTGTTATTGACGGTGAATGCTTGTTGGAACGCAAGGTTGATGGCTACTTGGATAGATTGCATGAACGCAGCAGTTTCCGAGACATGAATGACACTCATTCTATGCCATTAACACCACTCGCGTTTTTCCTACTTGTTTCGGGCGGTTGTTTTTTTTAAGTTACTCCTGTACAACTTTTGCGTGTGTATCATTGCAACTGTGTTTGCTATGGATGAGTCGATTCCAAAGTCTTCCACTGTTGAGTGACGGAGCAGTGGCCCAGCTGACTTACGCCTGGTCACTCACTCGGGTAACAAGAAGAGAATGTACTCATCCAATGATTTACAATTTCGACTGGTGTTCACTCTAACCTCCGGTCAGCCACACCTGCTCGATTTCCTATAATGTGCTGGATATTCAGGTTCACAAGTTTTCTCTGGAAAGATAACCGGTTGAATGGTCTTTGTTGAAGGGATTGGTCTCTGGACCGCTTCATGATATGGTTGAAACGTGGGTTGTCTAAAAGCGCGGTTAGGAGGCATGACTTGCCCGCAACAAAGCGGTAGTCCTTTTCCTAGGTGGATACTCCAGAATCAGACACGTCGGTACTTCTAACCAGTGGCAAATTCAGCGGAGTCGCTAACCCAATACAATCCTGATCTCCGAGCCATTTTTCTCAACTCTTAGCTACTTCCTTTTGACTAGATCTCTTCCTATCGCTACCAATCAACAAATAGCTTAGAGGAAAAATACTTTCACACGAGTAGAACTTACTTTTCAGAAGTAGTCACCCGAGGAGTCAATCAATACGTGACCACGTGAAGTAGTTTCCGTCATTGAAGGGTGAGTGCACTATGTCCTATCCAAGTGAGAACTAATCACACTGCTGATCAGTCGCTTGTGGTCATACGATTAAGTGTTCGCCAACTGGTCGAAAGGTTATGGGTTCGAAGCTCTCTAAGTTTTGTGATATCAGCACTGCTGATAATTTCAAACGAGGATGAGACAGATGTACAGTGCTTCTCGGCTTTCCAACATAGATTGGCTTCACTGGCAGGACGAAATCACACCACCATCACCATCATTTCTTAGTGGCTTATCTGAGATCAGCGTGTCGTCATCATTGTATTGCTCCTTCTGTTGAATTCAATGGTTGACGCTGATGAATGCCATTCAGTACTGGGATTGAAAGTTAAAGCAATCAACCGGATTCAAACCCGGATTTGCTCCCTTAGGTGAAACCAGACCATATTTAAGGACTGATAAGCAATGTACGGCTGTTACATTCTTATTAGAAAACTGACCAGAGAATCGTGAGATAACATTGCGGATAAACTTCCTTTAAGCTGAAGAAGTTCCGCTGCGATTCTCGGGTTTCCCACATAAGCTTACTTCACTTACAGGTTGATTAAGCACGTGCTGTGTTACCAAAAAAAGAAATACACCCCGATTAGCGGACTTGACCAGTTGGTCACGTTTGCTTTACTGGGTTACACCCCCTTCTTTCCCCATTGACAGAATCGAAGATAAGTGGGACTAAGTGAACTTTCCGGCCGGCACCTATGGACAGCGACCGAATGAAAACATAATTAGACAGTTGACGTCTGAGCGAATGAACATAGAATTCCATGTACTTCTGTATTTCAGCTCATCGTCTTGCGTAGCTCTCACAACAAATCTCACTTCCACCTGTTTGGTAGAATAAACCAGCCTGCTTCAACCATCCGGGGTTCTTTTATTGAAGTTCATTCTACGTAGAAAAAGAAATGGTATTTTTGGTGCATTTCCTTGTTTCTTTGTGTGTTCCCGAAATCGATTAGTGTTGTCAGCCGATGCGGTATCCTACTCACCTAAGATGAGAGCTGCAATCAGTCCATCAGACCAAATGAAGAATTAAGCCCTGGTTACAATCTTTAGTGGACGCACTGGAAAGCAGGAAGTGTACAGGCGAGAACATAGCTTCTTTCAGGTCCTGCTTATCACCTACCGGCTGACGGCATAAATATCTCAGGTTCCGAAACCGCCAGTGGATGACTTGAAAATTCCAAATACACGTGTTATTTAAAGTGACCCATTGTCACAGTCAGCTGTTTATGTCACACGAAGTAGACAAAGGAATGCATCCGACTTCCGTGCACTCGTTTGTTCTTCAACTCGTCGGTTATCGGCATACATACAGTACAAACCATCCATAACTTGGATGCCGCGACATATAAACACCTACGGTTATGTCTGATGCATGTAAAGATTCTTCTTATCGGTTTGCAGATACCAGTACATTTTGGCGATGCTTTCCGTGATCTTCCTAGCACATACACCGAAACCGAGCTGTTACCTGGTAAGCCAAGAGGGGTTGTGCTAGACGCCCTTATCGACAAGGTTTTCGTCTTGATGTCAGTATAACTTTCTCAACAGGGGTAAATGAACACACGGAACCGGTTCGACAAGAGTTCGTCTGCAAACACTCGTTTCATCAATGGACGAATAGTATAAGTGATTCCTAATTTCGAGCAAGCAATGCGTACCGTAGTGAATTCCCGTCCCAACAGTCTACTCATCACGCAACCTTATTTGGGGGACAGAGATACAGTGACATCAGCATTCCACGGATTTTATCCAGTAGGTATCACGTTTCGTTGCAAAAACCGGTACGGACGTCCGTAGTCTCGTACTGAGCGAGATCAAGCTCACTTGGAAGGTAGCTTAGGGTGTGAATCCTCGCTCCTGTTAAACATTTGTAGGAATAGATATACTGACCAACCCAGTCTGTTTCTCATTGGATCGTCGCGTAAGACAGGTTGACCAAGCGTTGTGAAATTGTAGCTTAAACATGCAATTGTTTCACTCAACCTAGATGGACTATTGAGAGGTGAGGAAAATGTGAGAACATTCTGTCAGGCTAATCGCCACCTGAGGAGTCAGTCAGCATGTGACGTGAATTCTGTGGTTGTGGGGTGAGCAACGCTATCATGTCCAGATGCGAGTTGACCACACTGCTGATCACCCAGCTTGTGTCGAACGGCTTAGGGTTCGACTACTAGCCGGGATGTCGCAGGTGACGATTCGCACTAAGGATGAGACAGCTGTACGACGCTCCTTGGCTTTTTGACAGATTGATTTCACTTGCAGAACGAAACCTCGCTTGAAACTGCTCAACGGCCTGAAAGTAGTGAGCAGACCAGCTGCCTGCACCGTGCTATACGTAGGTTTGTAAGTTTTTTACTAGTGTCGAACACCTCGGTTTGTCGACAGACAACGGCCTACTTTTGGTTCTTTTCAATTTATGGAAATCTTGGCTCCTTGTTTTGAACGAACACTGTCTCCCTGTATTTGAACTTAATCCAACTGTGGTTGATGACCTACACGCATCGGATAATGTTTCGAACTTTTGCCGGATGTTGAGCACCCGTAAAAGCTATATATCCAGCTACTTAGATCGCTTTTGATTTATTGACACCGACGCTTCACTTCCGCACGACCATAATTATATTTAAGGCCCTAGAGTGAATAGAAGAGAAAGAGTGCGGTTGACGGAGGAGAACTGATGCTGGCCTATCGCGAGCGTTCTGAGTTGCCTACGCCTCCAAACGTTAAATCAGACAATCTGGAAATATGACAGCACGAACGTCACTAACATCGATCAGCCACCATTTCTTCCACTGTCTCCAGCCATGGGCGTGAAGGGTCTTGGGGAACCCATCCTGGAAGGCGTGCCGCACCAGCAACACCCAAACTCTCCGTAATTTCTTTCACTCCCTTCTGCCACGTCATGCTTGTCTAACTTGCAGTTTGCGCCGAGAACAAGACCTGTCTCGATAAATGGTGTTTCGGCATTCTTAGTCCATGGCCGATACACCTTGGTTGATGGTGTTCCTGGTTTCCGTGAATGAAGAACACAATGCTGCTCAAGTACCTCTATGATCGGAACGGTTAACTATCGCTAGTGGACAAAGTGGAGGGGAGCGAGTGTTCGCTAGCTGATTGGATCGTTTTAATTAAGAACAATCTTGCGTTTGTTGCGTTTCGGCATAAATGACACCAATCCCTTTTGACTGCCACTCACTTTTCCTTTCCAGAAGAGTAGTATAAACCCTATATTGATCCGTTTTTATCGGGGGTGCTGCCTATGAATATAAGATGTTAGTACCGGTAATTCATAAGTTCGTTTAACCGTATGAACTTTCTGTTAGTATAATCATCATCAGTTATAAGAACCGCGCACCTACCATACAGTGATTATAGCTGCCACAGTTTCGTTCACTGATGGTTTGGGGAGATGGGATAGGCAGCTGAGCATTGTAGACAGTAGTTGTTAGCATATCTGAGGAAGACTTTTCTTTTACTTATTTCTAACTAGGTTCCAATCTTCTGGGAAAACTGAACGAAGGGCTACATGTCCTCATGTCCGGCCTCGATATTGAACGTCTGGTTTTGGCTGCCGGTCCAGTTGGTCTGATGCAAGCCGCATGTGACGTTGCGTTCCACTACGCCCAACAACGTCATGCATTCGGCAAACCAATATCAGAGTTCGGTCTCATTCAGGGAAAAATGGCTGACATGTATACTCGGCTGCAAGTCAGTCGGGTCTATTTGTACACACTGGCGCGGGTCATGGATGAGATCGAGAATGGAGGCAGTCAGCTCCGTATTGGTCAGAAGGCGGGACCTGTGAACATGGAGTGCGCAAACCTCATCCTTCATAATGCCGAAGCAGCCACTCAAGTTGCTTTGGATGCTATTCAAATACTGGGTACGTTGTTTGTTTGGTGGATGATCTCATCTTACATAGTTTCCGCCAGGATTACAACAACTATGTTCTTATTACGATCCATTTCACAGTGAAGGTTAATTTGGAGTTTCTTTTGGATCACCATCCTCAATTCACTACGACGTTTTTGGGAAGGTGATACCTGGTGCTGTTCACAACCCAATTATGCCTCTACGGCAACAATAAAAATATCGAGTTATTGAACACAGCTGGCAGCAGTGCCGCCGGACCAGATGATTCACTCCGAGTTAATTATGGCTGTCTTAACATAATGACCTCTAGACAACTCCGTGGTTAATGAGCGAGCTCACTAACCGGACGGTGCGCTGCTCGAACCCAACCCCGGCATCTCGGATGCTACTGTCCAGGCTTGGGTTTCCTTCGGTGGTACGGCAGCTAGGCACAGATAGGGTATTAGAGCCAAACGACGTCTTGACACAGTTGAAAAATAAGCATCACGATAATCTTAAACACCGACACCATGTTGAAACATTGGTAGCTCGTTTGAGGGCACTGATGGTGTCACCTGGGTTGTTGTCGGGATGAAAGATCAGATGCCAATGAGACGTCTGTCCAGGTAGGGAAATAAATAGCTCTGAATACCTGTCTGTTGATAAAAGATCGCTTCTTTTTTACTTTTGAGAACCGTTCATTAAAAATGGTCCCATTTGAACCGGCCAAAACTCGATAGGTGTTTGGAGCGGTGTATCCACTGTCGGTAGAATTGTGCCTTTGGTCTTGGTACTCAATATTAACGGCCGTTGCACTGCGCTTTTAGCTGCAGGGCATCACGGACCGGAAGCTCATCCGAAGCTCTCCATATCACCCAAATGAAGTATCCAGCAGTATATTTGTTTCATTTTACCTTATGACCGTTAATAATTCATCTACTTATTGTTGTATCAAGGAACTTTTCTACTTTGGGTCTCCGTTTTGTCCATTATTGGTGATAGCATTTCGGTTGCCCAGTGCCTTCCTTTCGTACTGCTGATGAATCATCCATGTTGCTCACTTAATAAGAGCATAACCTAATGCGCCTACTTTTTCACAGCCGACTCGTTCAGCTCCCCATCTACTTCAGGCGCATACCATATCGCCAGCCATTCCTGATAATAATAAGACAAATCGTTGAGCTGTGACACTTTTTCGGTACCCAGCTGCCATGTCACCCGAACGAAGCACTAGGGCTGGGATATTGCCAAGTTGCCCAAGTCTAGAGAGGGGAAGTCGAGAGGCAGAGGTCGGGTTCGAACCCATAGCCTTCCGGTCAGTAAATTCGCACTCCAACCACTGAACCATCGTACCAAGTTGTCAGTTAGACCGACCTGTATCCCTTAGTAGTATAATGGATACAAGGTGGAACACGTTATGGCTCCAACTGTTCAACCATATGCTCCTCTGCTATACTAGAGTTCATCGTAGAAACGCACTACTGTGCTGGACGCCCATCCGCGCGTTTGATTTATTCTCCCCGAAACCTTCGACCGTATTTTCTTCAGAATTGTACCGTATTTCATTCATTGAGTATTATTCCTCGTAGTTGCGAACTCAGGAACCATTATGTCCTCTCTCATGTAATCGCGTATATGGTACTCACTTGTGTACCAGCTGTTTCCTAATCTTTATGTGTGGATTCTATACATGAAGTCACTTATTCTTCCCATAGGTGGTAACGGCTATACAGAAGATTATCCAGTGGGGCGCATATTACGTGACGCCAAGCTGTACGAAATCGGTGCCGGCACAAGTGAGATACGGAGGATGATCGTCGCTCGTGCTATCAATGCTCAGTGCCGCCAATAACAGGTGTTATCCTAGTCAAGCAACCCATTATACAGGAGCCCGATTTTTTGGACGATTGTGATAATTTAAAGCCAGCTTTTTTATCTTTTTGTTCTATGTCATTTTTGCAACTCGACTTGTTATTTCCAGTTTCTTTGCATAACACACCGGTCCTTTTCCATCTGATGTCACATACGAGTCAATGCCCCACAGTGTTTTTTCTCATGCAACTTATGATATAGAAGATTCGGGCGGTGTGCTGAAAAAAACCTGGCGCATCTAAGATTGCCTCACGGATTTCAGGAGCTGAAGTTTTTATGTCAGCAGATCCCACCCTATATCATGCACTACCTCGAGCAATTAGGCCGCGGTGTCCAACTTTCTAGGTGTTCCTGCTTTATGTTGCGACCGGGCCAATTAAAATATGGTGCCATGCTTTATTCGTCGTCTGCTTATCCTTTGGATATTCACCACTTATTAGCACATTCATCGCAGAATGTTTTGTTGCCATTAGGAAGACACGCTCTCTAATAGATGGTTTCCCAGGTAATGTATTTTGTTTTGGGCCTTACTGACTAAATATCAGCAGACCAGGTCTAGTGCATTGTCTGTTGGCAGTGTGGGGAGATTTGGGTTTCTTGTGGAGATTTCGTGCTGTAAGTGAGACCGATCTATGACGAAAAGCCGAGAAGCACTGTACACCTGTTTCATCTCTATTGGGAATCGTCGCCAGTGCGCATCTCGAGAGACACCGTTTGTCTCCGTATGGACATTTTGACCTGGTTTCTTGGATTACGCATTGTATCAAGTGACAAGGAAGGCTGTAAAACCAGCTACGAAATATCGACACCCATAGGTGACGTCGTATTGTATCTAAATATGATCGTCTTCCTTACTTCAGAGTAGTTCGGAGGCTTAGGCACGAGCTCACAAAGAGGGGCGTGATGTTCAATTACCTTGAAATATTTCATCCCGGAGGCATACTTCGGTGTTGGACATCACCTGTTCCCCGAATAGGGGCCATAGGTCAATGATATAATTTGATGAAACAGTTGTCAAATGATTATTTGTACTTGATTTCGTGCTGTAAGTGAGACCGATCTATGACGAAAAGCCGAGAAGCACTGTACACCTGTTTCATCTCTATTGGGAATCGTCGCCAGTGCGCATCTCGAGAGACACCGTTTGTCTCCGTATGGACATTTTGACCTGGTTTCTTGGATTACGCATTGTATCAAGTGACAAGGAAGGCTGTAAAACCAGCTACGAAATATCGACACCCATAGGTGACGTCGTATTGTATCTAAATATGATCGTCTTCCTTACTTCAGAGTAGTTCGGAGGCTTAGGCACGAGCTCACAAAGAGGGGCGTGATGTTCAATTACCTTGAAATATTTCATCCCGGAGGCATACTTCGGTGTTGGACATCACCTGTTCCCCGAATAGGGGCCATAGGTCAATGATATAATTTGATGAAACAGTTGTCAAATGATTAATTTGTACTTTGCTTATTGTTCAACCTAATGGATTCGATTGAGCGATGTGTATTTTGCCATGATATTGGCTCTTCGGATTGAGGGTGCGCAGGAGTTGCGCACTGTTCATCATTTTAACACAAATGTACCTTTTAGTATCAACAGGGACCCAACTCAGGGGATGATATGCTAGTCACGGCGTTTTATTCCGTTGCAGTTCTATTTCGAGGGAACAAGACTTCATAAAAAGTGATACTATTTTCCTAAAAGGATTGTTACTCCCCAGGATGCGTCACGACAAGGAGAGTACTCTGTGCCTTTGGCCCAGATTTACTTGTTAACTAGAGCCTGAGGGATTGTAACGTAAGCCAACAGTTCGAACTTTCATGTTTGAGATACCGGTTAAAGACAGTGTGGCTGAAATACAACGCGCAGCAACTCATAGGAAGACTCGAAACCGACACGACTCGGCGCAAAACGTAGTCCTTCGAATGCCTTTCATGAAAGTTGTATATCTGGATCCTTCGAGTAACAAATCGGACATCTGTAACTTCTGCCGAACCGAGTGGATAGGTGTTGAGCGATCTTCCATCTGTAACGTTACCTTGCGTAGATATTCAACTCTCCGATGTGGCTCTTTGATCACCGGGTCACTGAACCCTTATTACCTCTTGATTTTTTCATCTTTGTATCTTCGAATGCATAGTTTTTATGCTACCAATCCTCTCAATAATGCTTGTCATGTGTTACTCAAGGATGACCTTTAGACGGAATAATTGTATCGGTTTCGCTCTTCATGAGCTACTAGCCGGCCGTGTCACTCCGGTTGCGTCAACGATTAACGGTTGCAGTCTGTTGGACCAAAAGCTTCAGGGGAGTTGTCTGCCGGTGCGGAATAACCAGATTTGATATTGATATGCCTGTTGAGGATGGCTGAAAGGTCAAGTATACTTAGTCTGGTATCACCGACGATCTGTATGAGAATAGAGTGGCAGCAGATTATGCGCATTTTTTCGGTGATCAATTCAGCTTTTGTACATCACAAGAGCCCACATGAGAGATCCTCCTAGTGAGATCGTTATTTCGAATAGCATCGCTGGATGTTGAAACAGTCTTTAAAATCCATTTGACAAACGAGATTAAAGCCAGATATTAGCACTCAGAAGTGGTCACCTGTGATCACGGATATCTGGTCTACGGTGAGTAGCTTCATACGGGCTGACTAGGTGCCTGTTTGTGAGCTGCTTCACGTTTATACTGGTCTAAGTGCCATAACCATTATTTTTCCGCTCCAGTCTTCGGAAGCTTGCGTTCTTTTGAAGCGTATTCGGTGTCGCCAAGATAATGCGTCTTCGGAATCCTGATTGTTAGCTAAGTTACCCACACAGATTTCAGATTGAAAATTTAACTGGGTAAACCAATAGACAGCTCGCAAAATGGTGTAAGCTACGAGTTGCGGCAATGACTGTTGGTGTACACTTGTTTGAAATCAAACTGAAACACAGTCAAGCGGCACCTGGGTAGTACGTCATCACCGGATCGGTCACCATATTACGTAATATTCAGCGACAATTTCTCCGGCGAGCGATTGATCGGCATATCTCTCAGGCCGGAAATCGGTAGATTGAACAGCGCGACATGGCGGAGTTTATCTACGAGGTATCTGCTTCCTGACCAGTCCATACAAATTACATACTATTACTTAGACCGTGGAAACCTGACAGCAGATGAATTCATGTGGTTTACACGGATTACGTGAGCAACTGCAGGAACGAGATACAGGACACCAATCAAATCGTGGTTGGAACGCGTCAGACCAAGGCAGGTTATACCAAGTGGACCACAGGCTCGCTGACTAGTCATCTGGGGTACATGTTAGTCGTTGGCATCCACTGAGCAGTAAGAAACATGCGGTTTCTAAGCTCTCTTGTTTTCCAGTAATGTATCCGTTCACTAGTCTACGTGGTCTTAACCGCGATTAATGTCTACGGAAAACTGATAATGCATTCAGCAAAGGGCGGCGGTAACCATTTCGTAGAATGTTCAGTTCCAACGTTTCTAGAATTTCCTTTTAGAGTTCCTCACTGTGGCATGCCGCCAAGGATCTGTTTTGTGGTTCATATCTGATTTTGGGAAGCGTTCCTGTTGGGTCATCTGACGTAACTCCCTAAGCAGATGAAACCAAGTATACTTCCTTTGGACTGGTCCTGCAGATATTACCTGGCCTCATAACCCAAATCTTTCTTTTTAAGTGAGTTAGATCATTTTAGAACACAAAAACCCATTCGCACTCCGCTTAGTCTAATGTGATCTTTGCGCACTAACTGTTCACCAACCAGACAATGAGAGCAGCAGCGAAAGCTGATAAATCACATGATCTTTGCGCACTAACTGTTCACCAACCAATGAGAGCAGCTGCGAAAGTTGATAAATCACAGTTAATCCCTTGTCCTTGCTTATTCGAAGAAAATAATTTTGAACTTCGACCTGATTTAGTCTCCTGTATGCTTGTTTCTCAGTACAACTTGACTGCACCATTGCGAAAAAGTATAGTTGTCATTTTTTTGTACACCGGTCAAATAGCTTCTTGATATGTAAAAAATCATGTGTTTCTCCAATGCCAGCTACGAGGATGGACAAAACCATTTTTTCGGTTGTCATTATACCTGGAAAGAATTCACTAAAATATTAGGGCAACTGGTTCAAACTGCTTTGAGTTCCTCAGGATGCAGTGGATATCTGTAGGTTGTAGCGCCCTCGATTTTAAGTCTGATTAATTCTAGCTACTTGATTTCATTTGCAGTAACTTACTCAATTGGCATGAAAAATGGTAACTTTCAGGATAAGCGCTCGATCGAATGGAACGATGTGGTTGGCATCTAGTATGAAATCGTTCGGTTTCGTGTATAAAGTTCGGAATGAGTTGTTGGACCTAATGGGGTTGTAGAAACAACTGCTGGGTTAAGAAGCGAGAAACCCCAGCTGAAATGCTTTACTTTTTTGGACTGCGAAGCGTTTTAAATTTTCCCCTACTACTCCGGATAGAGTTCTCGGGTGTAATTCTCAGTGATGTGGAGGTTAAGATTGTGCCATGGGAACCCTGATTTCTTATTAACGTGGAAGACAGTGCAAGTAGTATGTGATCATCTCGCTATGATATCTCAAATATTTTCAACGATCCGGGCTGTAAAAATTCCATACTTCTTTGGGCAGGTGGATGCTTATTAAATCATGCCTCGTAATTCGCTACAAGTGTGACTGTCCAAAACAATTTCTTATCATTCTGATCATTTTGATTCCACCATTCGATGTCCACTCCAACGTTCGATCCCACAGTAAAGCTATCCATATTGAAGGGTCGCCTGTCAGATTCTTTTACTCCTTTCCTCCGGAAAACACGCTGCCTCGAATGTGACCCGGGTCAGAGTGAGTTAGTTCCTGTATTTCAGTGTGTCTGTGTGTGTGTATTCTCTTCATATGTACTCAGGCGAAGCAAACTTCTGAGTTAGATCATTCTGCAAGCACTAGTTAACGGTTTGCTCTTACGACACTATGTTGTTTAGAAAATTTATGTACACTAACGAATGTGCTCAGGGATTCCCTAGGTAACTGCGTCAAATGTTGTTCCCCTCTTGTCCCGTTTCTTCACTCAGTTCCAACACCTATCCTCCGATGATCTCTGATAGGGATGAACCCTGTGGCGCTTCCCCGTTTTTCAGATTGTTTTAGTAATTAAATACGTGATCAGTGTTGCTTAAGCCCCCATTAGTTATCGACCCAATGAGCTTCTTTGTCGGCGTGGTATGCTCGTATGAAGCTGTTGAATCACCAATCCATGTTGCGTTCTGTGCCGCAGGGCGGTTTACTCACAGTTTGTTACTATATTTGTTGATCCACGGTGGGGTTTTCACCGTTACTCAAGTCATTTTCATTCAGCATTACCAAAATGACTGACATGTTTCCGAACAAATAGACACTTTCAAAGCACCGGCGTACATTATGTTTAAATGCTTTATTTATTTCACAGAGTATTTCATTTAAATTGGTTGAAAATTATTTGGCAGCCAAC